AAGCCCAACTGTTTTCCACAATATGTCTTCAAAGGAAGAATCCAAGCTCATGGGTTCTGCTCTTCCAACGCTGCCTCTTATTCATACCTGAATTCTATCCGTAGGTCTGTGTCTATTTTCACTCAGCTCAGTGACCACCGTTGACATTAAAGACATGCATTCACATCTTTTTTGTTTTTGTTTTTTTGACAGTTAGACAGTGAGAGAGACAGAGAGAAAGGTCTTCCTTCCATTGATTCACCCCCCAAATGGCTGCTACGACAGGCACTGTTCTGATCCAAAGCCAGGAGCCAGGTGCTTCCTCCTAGTCTCCCATGCGGGTGCAGGGGCCCAAAGACTTGGGCCATCCTCCACTGTCTTCCCGGGCCACAGTAGAGAGCTGGACTGGAAGTGGAGCAACTGGGACTAGAACCTAACGCTGCAGGTGGAGGATTAACCAAGTGAGCCACGGTGCCAGCCCCTGGATTCGTTTCTTTCAGAGGCGCTCCAGTTGACTATTGAGGGACTCAGTAGCAAGTTAGCCTGTCCACTGATTGATCTCTGAGCTAATATTCATTTTCTATCTTGAGGGTTCATTTGTGATTTACTTTGTAAATCACTTATTATCCCTGGGTCCTTGTCAAGATGCACCTCAACATCTTGACAACCCTGTCTCTAGCCTCTCTTTCTCTGTGTCAGTCTTCTGTCTGAGATCTGTATCTGCCAAGTCTCCCCTTGTGGTGCCTACCTACATATGAGAGTATTGCCTGGTGATAGACTCTTTGTTGTCACTCAAACTGTTTAGTAGGATGCTCCTGACATCAAAATTCTCTAACATTCCTCTCAGGTGCAGTCTGCTATGTGGGACGTGGCCCATTACTGGGGAGTAGACTCCATCCTTAATGTCCCTCTTGCTTAGATGAAATTTTTCTGAGTACCTAAAATTGATTTATCCCTAAATGCCTAACTCCAGATTTTGTCACCTTCCACTTCTTTCATTTGCTGCATGTGTCCTCATGGCCAAACCCACAGATAAAAACAGTCAACCCCCTTTCCAGTTTTGAACCAAATAAGGCCTACAATAGCTAAATATTGATGCTTACAAGGTACCCCAAAAGTTAACAGCTAATGTTTATTCTCTCATATATTTTCTGAGGGTCAGGAATCTGGAGAAAGTTTGTCACATTGGTTCTGACTCAGGGTTTTTCCATGATATCACAGTCAGGATGCCAGCCTGGTCACAACCATCTGAAGGAGTTGGAGGATCCACTTCCCCAAGGGCCATTCACATAGCTGCTTTCTGGAACTCGCAATCCCTTGCTACACGGATCTCTTCATAGATCTGGTTAAGAGCCTTTGTAACACGGCACTAGCTTCCACTAGAGTGAAAAATTCAAAAGATAGAGGGAAGAAGTCCAATGTTTTTTTGTGACCTTACTTTGGAAGTCACACACAAACACTTCTGTTTATATTCTAATAGTCACACAGACTAACCTTGACACAGTGTGGGAGGAACTACGCAATGGGTTGAATGCTGAATGGAAATTATTAGGGGCCATCACATGGCCTAAGCTGTGTTTGTGTGGGTGGGGGGACAGATCTGTACAAAATGAACAGTAACAGAAAAACTAACAAGGTTTCTCTTTACGCTAACTCTGACTCCTTTTTCTTAGACTACTGTGCTGAATGTTGGCACCCAATCTAGAGTATAAGCTAAAGCAGTGACATTTAGTCAATCTCTCCAGACCCAGCCTACTGATCCTCCACTTTCCTATTAATCCTATCATTTTGGTTCTCAGCTCCAACATTACCCAGAAAAATCCCTAGTCTTTCATTATTTAGTCAGATATCATTAGTAAGATGTAAGGAAAGTATAAAAAGTACAGAAAGTTATTGAAGAACAGGGAATACTTGCTTATTGAGATCATCAGAGTAATTCATTACACTAAGTTCAGTTCATGCTACAGAAACAGACATATTATCTTAGCATCAAAGTTTCCTAGAGCTTACTAGCTTTCCTCTAATTTATGAAAGAATTTTCCACATTACTAGAAAGGATTCCCAGTTACAAGTCCTGGGCTAATAATCTTCAGCACAATGAATAACAATAGCAAAGATAATTTTCTTGATTTGATTATAAGCAATACTCAGTGTACATTGAATCTAATCAAGAAACCACCAGAATTTACATGAATTTACCAATACTGTTCTTTCTTGCTTTTTCTCTCTTTTCTTTTTGAATTGAAAAGAAGAAGAGATTTAGAACTCATCATTTTCAGAGTAAAAATTGGAAATTAGAACACAAAGAATCCAAGGAAAACACTGGTAAACCATTTTGATCTTTTCAACAATTGTTAGGTTTCTGTTCCCCAGCCCCATGACCCACCAACTTAGCCATCTTCTTCCCAGATGAAATACCTAAGTGTGTCTCTCAGCTGAATGTGGAGTCAGGCATAAGGGGTGTGAAAGAATGTGAGGAAACAGCATGAGAAGAAGGCTGGACTTGAGTAAGTGAATGTCTTTCTGTTCTTCACAGACAAACCTAAACACCACAACCTGGTTCTTCCAGTAACTCAAGCAGATTACCAGAAGTTCTTTCTCTGGGTCCATTGTCAGTTTCTCTCCTATTTTAAACTTTGGAGGTTGGTGTCCATCATTTCGTTGTCCTAGCCCCTGAAGATGCTCTGTCTATAGCTCTCTTCCTAAATCATGTATATATTTTCTGTAATTTTCAGTCCTTCTAAAGCCTAACAATGAACAACTTTGTATTTTTTGGCTAAGCTGCCCGCTTTGAGTTCCAGTCTCATAAATTCAATAGCCAACTGATACCATCATGTACAAGTCCTACAGGCTGCACAAACAAAATCCCTGAATCCTTCCTCTTTCCCATGTGCCCCACACAAGCTATCACAAAGTCCTCCTTTTTGCCCCTAAAGTAACTAAATACCTTGTCTCTTTTGTGGCATTCTGTTGATCATTGCCCCAGTCCAAGTGCCATCATTTCTCATCTGGATTTGTACGCTTACTTCTTCATTGCTATTTCATGCTTCTTTATATCCACATATATCATTTATTTATATAGCGTACAGATTTATCTGCTTCAGTTGACTCCATCCAATGGTTTTGCATCGCACATGGACAAGTCTAAGTTCCTTACAATGGCTAAGGAGGCCTGCACAAATGGTTCACAACCAAACGGCTGTACCTTTCTCTTTCTCTTTCTCTTCCCCATAACAGGTTAAATGAGAGCATGAGGCGCGAAGGATATTGGAAACTAATGAGTCAGTTGACTACTGGACTATGGGCACTGAAGGAAGTGAGTTGGAAAGTGAGGAAGTTCTGGCAGACAGCAGGATATCTGCTATTGAGCTTAAGAATTAAGTGGCTGAGGAAGGGTGGAGGACACAGTTACTGGAGGGAAGAAATCTAAGAACCGAGAAACCAAGGTCCTGGAAGGATCACTGATGTGGCCACTGGGACTACAATGATTATGACAAGGGTAGGGTGGGGGAGCGACCAGAACCTCAAAGGCTGAGGAGACAAGGCCCAAAGGTGTTGGCAGGTGGTGATGGTGATGAAACACCAAGAGTAATTTATATTATATTATTGTACTGTAATAATCATGTATATTCATATATTAAATTTAGAATAACTTTATCTCTCTTAATGTTTTCAAAAGCTCTGTGAAATAGCTGTGGAGAAAGGCGACCAACATTTGTTCCATCTGTTCTCTGGGCCAGGAACTGTGCTAATTTTCTCACATGTTGTATCTTTTAATCCTGAACCTACCCATCTGCTTGACAACTTTTGTTCTCTCAGTTGCATCCTTGGAATTAATCGCCTCCCTCACTGATTAATCAAGCTGCCGAGGAAGAACTATCGTTTCTTAAAGCCTGTTAGCCTGGCTTTCCCACTTTCACAGGATGCTGAGGTAGTAAGTAAAACAGTGTTCATGCTTTGGTGAGACGCTGACCAGAGGAGGTCAGAAAGCTTGGACCAAAGAAAGCAGATAAAATGAGAATGTCAAGGTATGTTGCCTTGACGACATGAGAATAATTTACAAGAGGAGGTGAGAAATCAAAGAGGAATTGGGAGTCCAGGGCTCACATCCATGCTCCTAAAGAGCTGAATAAGAGAGAGCTAATGATCTGTGCGTTTGGACAATGCCCATGGCCTGAAGCCCTAGAAAGTGCCCCTCTCCTTTCCCAGAACAAAGCCATTCTGTGGTCAAAAAGGCATTCACTGCTTATGAGGCACTTCTCAAGCACAGGCACTGAGCCACGCATTTTCACGTTGTTGTCTGTGACCTACAACCTTGACGAATGTTCTCACGAAATGGATGATCTCATCCCTTCCCTGTCCTTGCCCTTGCTCTTTGCTGAAGCCTAAAAAATCCCCACCTGTGTGGATATCAGTCATCGGCTACTCTTCCTGAGACAAGACAGACCAGACATCAAGTATTTTGGGGTTTTGGGGGATTTTCAAGAACTTTATTTTATGTAAGACAGAGGTATTTGACCCTCAAGAAAAACTCGCAGAGCCTTCCATGTGAATTCAGTGAGGTCAAGTGACAGTAATTGGTGAGGTCAGGGCTCTCACTTCACATTCAGTGAAGCATGCCTGGGGCCTCTGAGGGGTTAAAGATCCCTCCTGCCTGCATTCATGTGAGATTTTGCAATGTCCAGTGGAAAGTTCAGAAGCTTTGGCTTTAATCCTAGCGCTGGCGAGCTAACTGTTCTTGGACAACTTACTCCATCCCTTTGTACCTTACCCACCTCACCTGCAGAATAAAGACAGCAATAATATCTGCCTTCCTACATGGTTTTAGGCTTCATGAGTGACACACGGTCAGTGTTCAAAAATAGGAACTAGAATTTTAAGGTCAAAAGTATCCATGAGCATATTATGTCATCTGAGTCGGTCATGCCTGTGAGTCTCATGTGGACTCATTAAGCTATTAAGCACTCAGAACTGGCCACATCAGAGGCTATTTTAGGCTACTTTGCATGTGTTAATGCTTCCTTCCTTTTTTCTTTTTAAACAGAAGAGACAAAGAAATTAGCCTACTATATTTATTTGATCTTTGGTATCCAAAAAGTCGTTTGAGGTCAGCGAGCAACTCTTCTGCAAAGCTCTGCCAGAGTTGAGGAAAAGGCAGCTGCTGTTCCTTCCTGCGGTTCAGTCAGGGAAACCCGGGCTGAAGGAATTAAAAGAGCCCACTTAGGACTAGAAGCCCAGGCTACAAGATCATCGAAAGTCAGGGCAGGACAGTGAGCAGAAGGACACATTGCACCCTCGGCAGCCACATCCATCCCAAATGGAGTGACAGGAAGCTGGGTGAGCCCTCTTTTTCACTAATTTACACTCAGTTTCTTCAATGCATTGTGGGGGTTGGGGAAGAGGGTATTAAAAAAATCAGGAAAATCTAGGTTAGAGATTTGTTTTCTACAAGTGTTTTTCAAAGTTTGGAGCTTTTTAGTTTTCATTTTTTCTCTTCCAAGGACCCTTGATGACTCAGTGTGTCTCTTTCAGAACAAAGACAGGTGCTCCTTGGGGACCTTGTGGGGGTGTTGCCGCCACAGCTAGTACCTGATTCAAGGCTGGGAGGGGTGGCCTCCCACTCTGATAGCATTTTCCAGGTTTGAGACACAGCTAGAATCCAGAAGGCAGGCCTGGAGCTATGGCCTTGTTTTTCCAATTTATGTCTGTGAAAATCTAAGCTTGTTTTTCCGCACTAATGAGTAAGCGCACTAAGTACTTTCTGAAGCAAGTGGAACAAAAACAAGCTCTCCTCGCTTTACATTCCAGCAGCATTTCTGAGTTGTCTTTTTTTTGTTTTTTTTTGGTATAGGAACCTGGAAGAGTCAATCTACTCTGGCAAAAGAGCTCATTACATTGGAGCGCTGCACACTAGGGAAAGAGGTGACACTGGTTGTAGCGCACACGGCTGCAGGACAACCGGTGCTGGCAGTTAGCTCCTCTGTTTGACTCAGGGAGACCAGAGGGGCAAGTCAGCTCTGCCTGTGGGGAATTCACTGCTTTACACAGAGTACATCTGGATGTTGACACTGTGGACGTAACATCAACACAGACATGTCTCCTGAGGAGGTGATTGCACACAGTATCGAAGCACATTAATACTCAGTATATACTAGTCAGGATTAGTCTTGTGTAGATTTCACATAAATATTCAAATGTTTTGCAAACATGATGCCCACAGAAACAGAATATGGTCCTTTAAAATGCTTTTTTATTAGTCATTTTAAAAGTGATTTTGACTCTTTTACTTGACATGAGCGATCAGGTTCCACGGAGTCCTCCGCATTCCTTCACTTATTGGCATAACTTTTCTGACCCTTGAAATAATTGACATTTGTAAAATCCTTGAAATCGTTTCTTTTTTGCCCTTAGCATCACAACTTTCTCTTAGCCAGAATACACTTCACTTACTAAGGCCTTAAGTTGCTCCATCTATAAACTTCTAAAATATACATGATTCTGGAAACACACAGGCTCTGGTTTGTGCAGCTGCTAGCGTGTAGGTGTGCCACTCTGTCCTTCTCAAAGCAGGTCTATCGTTTTTCTACTTGGCCTTGGTTTAACTGATGGAAATCAGTTAAGTTCAACAACACGGAGAGGATGAGGAAAGTCCAAGGAAAGCCGAAAGCACAAAAGGAGACTGCGTGTGAGTATGCAGCAAGTTCAATGCAAGAATAATTTGTTCTTTTCTGGGGAGAAGCAAAAAAACATTTTTCTTTTAGTAATAATGAATTTTGTCTCATTGATGAACATCTATTGGTGCAAGGAGATGGGATGTGTGGGCTGTAACCCAGGCAACCGAGTGGGCAGTAGTAGTTCAGGCAGCCTCATAAGTGTATGGTGAGAGCTCTAGAAAGGATGCACCTGTAAGCTTCAGCCTCCGCTCTCCGCAATAGCACCTGGTGCTGGGCTTGTGCGCTCACCTGTGGGTTAGGGCAGTGGGGGGAGGGGGCTGGCTGATATTTAAAGAATCTAGTGTTAATCATATTTATTCACTGGGAAAAGGGAGACAGAGCAGAAGAAAGAATACATAAGGAAAGTAAAGTAGTACATGATTAAAAAAAAAAGCCTAAGTCTATTTTTAAACACACCGAATGACAGTGCACATAACAAGAATCTGTGTAGGACAATGAGCAGATTTTCAAGAGCCTTGTGTTAGACAATAATTCTTCAGCTCTTTGGAACCCCAGCCAGTGCTCAAAAGGAAATTCTAGCTTCTCTGGACTGCTAGTGCATGCATCAACACACCTATCAGTTACTAATGGGCAAGTGAAAGAAAAGTATTTCTACTAACAGTGTTCAGTAGAAAATAATTTCTGGTTAATCAATTAGCCAAGTGACATCAGATTAGCACAGCACACGAAGCCCATGGGCAGATTTGTGATATACTAATGAAGAGTCACCAAATTACAGCCGAGTCTAATAGGGATCTCTATGAAAAGAATTAAGGCCAAATATGATTAAATATGTTCCCAAACTCTAACTGATTACCATAGGGAAGCACAATCAATAGGCCACATTAGCAATATGTTCAAGCTGCCAACACTTTAGGTTCATTGAATCTTCTAGTCTCAATTGAATTTCATATATGAATCACTCTGTAGTTTTCCATTCATTTTTATTTGGTAATATGTGAATGCGTTAAAGCTAGCACTTCTGCTTCTGAACTTTAATATAAAGAACTTAAGCAAGCATCATTTCCTAACTGAAGACATGACCCTCCTCTGAAGAATATCACCTAATAGTGAGTGTCTTAAGCCTTGGGATTGAGAAGAGTCTAGAGAGATCTTCCAAAGGACCATGGAAAATGCACATAAACTTTTAATTTCCTTTTCCATGAAGTCTCTGAAGTGCCCTCACACTAAGGATGATGTTGGTGAATTGAAAAGTTGTACTGAGGTGACTCAGTCTTGCCAGAGCTGTGATGTTGCAAAGTTGAATCTTAGAGAAGGAACTAAGTGTCTCATACCTCAGGGAAAAGTTATTTTTCTTATGCTCTACAACATAGTGTGGGTGTTCTGCATTCTATTATACTTCATTGTTCCAGGATGCATTTCAATCACTGCCATTAGTGAATTTTCTGGTTATGATTCCTATCATAAGGACATGGAAGAAAGATTTCTGCTTCTGACAAATGATAGGCTAGATTCAGGCAAATTCTTTATGAAAACAATTAAGATATTTTTAGGATATCCTTAAGAGAATAATATATTTTAAAAAATATAAAAGGTACTACCAGGCCAAAGAGAAATGAGAACCCAGAGAAGTAACTGGAACACTGGAGTCTCTTCAGCCTCAAGGGCATTTGCAGCACTTAGGAAACCAGATTTCTGAGATTAAGCAAACATTAGCTCAGGCCCAGCATCCACCCAAGCAGGTCACTTTACTATGAGACCTTCCCCCCATTAAGCTGGGTACCACTGAGTCACATCTACTGGTAAACGTAAATGAGACATAATTCTGCTCCACCCATCACCCCAACTGTAGAAGCTCAGTGCCTGAGGAGACGGTGAGAAAGGTTGTCACGGCACCAGGTAAAAGGGGGAAAGTGGAAAGGGAAGAAAAAGTCCCTGAGAAGTTGTGATCACCACCGTCCTGTCCCGGAACAAGAGGACATCTTTCTCTAGACATGACAGAATCACAAAAAGTAATTTTTCAGAAACATTGAGTAGTCCCCAAAAGAAAATACCAAAAGACTTGAGCACAAAAGGCACCCTGGAAAACAATCAGCAGAAAAACAAAATTATAAAAACAAATCCAAAAGTACATGAAACATTGAGTTTATCCAAACCAGAAAAAAAATGCTTCTTCTATTTGAAGATATCAAAAACCATTTCACAACATCTGAAGGGAAAGGAAACCATAACATAGACCTAAAAGATTTAAAAACTAACTATTTTAAAGAAATAAAAATATTAGAGGCAAATATAAAAACTCAGTTGAGGGATCAAAAACAAATTCGCCCATCATCCACTGCCTTCGCAGGTGGATTAGCAGGGAGCTGGATCTGAAAGTGGAGCAGCTGGGACTCAAACAGGCATTCACATATGGAATGCCAGTGTTGCAGCAGGCTTAACCCACTGTGCCACAACGCCAGCCTCGACACTGCTAATTCTGCTCTGATACCTGCTTATCATTTTGGAGGACCAGAATTGTCTTAATTAGAAATGATGAGGCAAAATTTTTAAAATTAGAGAAAATAAATTGTATGAGATGTTCTTTGTAGGCTTTGACATTTCACCTTTTAAATAAATAACCTGATATAGACAATGCAAATCAACTTGTGATTTCTATTTGATGTCATTGCTTCATGTAAACACAGCCAGGGACATGAGGAATTAATTTTTTTCATCCAAAAAATCTATGTCAGGGGGCTGGCATTGTAGGGAAGCAAGTTAAGACACCACTTGGGGAAAGAACAGATCATCAAAGAAGGAGGTACCTTTCTCTGAAGGGAGGAGAGAACCTCCACTTTGACTATGACCTTGTCTAAATTTGATCAGAGTCGGCAAACTCAAAAGGATTCCATAGCCTTGGCAACTCATGACAAGAACCTAGGGTGATTACTGATGCCATAAACAAGAGTGTCAATTTGTTAAGTCAACAAGAGGAGTCACTGTGCACTTACTCCTCATGTAGGATCTCTGTCCTTAATGTGCTGTACATTGTGATTTAATGCTATAACTAGTACTCAAACAGTATTTTTCACTCTGTGTTTCTGTGTGGGTGCAAACTGTTGAAATCTTTACTTAATATATACTAAACTGATCTTCTGTATATAAAGAGAATTGAAAATGAATCTTGATATGAATGGAAGGGGAGAGAGAGTGGGAGAGGGGAGGGTTGCAGCTGGGAGGGACGTTATGGAGGGGGAGCCATTGTAATCCATAAGCTGTACTTTGGAAATTTATATTCATTAAATAAAAGTTAAAAAAAAAGACACCACTTGTGATACTGGCATCCCACGTGGGCACTAGTTCAAGTCCTGGCTGTTCCACTTCCAATCCAGTTTCCTGCTGATATGCCTGGGAAAGCAGAAGAGGATGGCCCAAACACTTGGGGCTCTGCACCCATGTGGGACATATAGAAGTCCCTGGCTCCTGGCTTCCACCTGGTCCAGCCTGGATGTTGAAGCCATTTGGGGAGTGAACCAGCAGATGGAAGATCTCTCTCTCTCTTTCTCTCTCAACTTTGCCTTTCAAATAAATAAATAAATCTTTAAAAACAAAAAATCCCTGGGTATTTGAGTCTTCAAAACATAATTTATGTACATACTAAACTATGTTTTATATTTTACCTTTGCTCAGTTCTATATGGGATCCAAATTATGTTTGAAGTAAATTCCAGTAAAGTCCAATGATTCTTGGTATGCTAAAATCACTACATAAATAAAGTCACCTAAATAAATGCTTGTGTCAATTTGGAAATGTCCCTAAGCTGTAGAAATCAGATGATTTAACAATGACAAGAGAGGCCGGTGCTGTGGCACAGTGGTTTAAAGCCCTGGCCTGGAGCGCTGGCATCCCATGTGGGCGCCGGTTCTAGTCCCGGCTGCTCCTCTTCCAATCCAGCTCTTTGCTATGGCTTGGGAAAGCAGTAGAAGATGGCCCAAGTCCTTGGGCTCCTGCACCCATGTGGGAAACCTGGAAGAAGCTCCTGGCTCCAGCCGTTGTGGCCAATTGGGGAGTGAACCAGTGGATGGAAGACCTCTCTCTCTCTGCCTCTCTTCTCTCTGTGTAACTCTGGCTTTCAAGTAAATAAAATAAATACATCTTTAAAGAAAAGAATGACAGGAAGCAGATTTTGTTAAAAATATCTTTGTATCATATTTTGTATTTATGTTCCAAATATTTACCAAGTCAGTAACCCAATGAAAATGATTTTTGCACAAACTGTGAATTTCAGATTTCAAGAAACAAGGGAAATGCATGTAAATTCTTTTTTTTAACTTTTATTTAATGAATATAAATTTCCAAAGTATGACTTATG